CCCTAATTTGTGTCCACCCGTTTCCCTTCACTTTCCTTCACTTGAGTTCATGTCCCTTTATGTCTGTTTTTGTTCCCTGTCTTTCATTTCACTTCATGTCATTCTTTTCCAAGCATTTCCTTCATTTCCAGACGTTCCTTCACCAACGTAAACAACGTCCACAGCATCTCTTGCATCATCCGCATCCTTGGCAGGCGCTGATGCGGATGATGCAGGTGATGCTGGCGATGTTGCCCAGGAGGTGCTAAGGATGCAAAAACGGGAACACCCCAATGTTTATATTCCGCACAGCCCTTAGAAGAAAGGATTTAGTGGAACGTCTTGGAATCACCGCGTGGTACGTGGGTTTTTCCCAACTAGTCTAGCTATTTTCAGATGCCGGGTGCCTTGCGGGGAAGTCCAGGTTGTGATGATACTTCGCATCATTATGTTAGTTTCATATTATTCCCAAAGGTACGGGTTTTTTGGAGAAGTCCAGACTCACTGTTCTTCTAATTGTAGTTTTTCTAACCAACCGAATATTCAAATTATTCAAAAGGGGGTGGGTGTTGTTTGTCGGGGATGTCTGCATTTTCCTGCTCTGATTATTCTCATTGTGCTGGTTATTCTCAAAGGGACGGGTGACTGTTGGGAAGCTGCAAAATCGTTCTCTTGGTTAATCCCTACTTATCCTAGGCATGCTAGTCAAGTAGGCTTATTAGAACAACATGCCCTTTTAAGAGTTCTTCTGAAATAAGGGGGCCTTTTGGGAAGTTCCAGATGCATTTGTTTTAACTCGTCTAATTGTCCTCAGTATTATGGTTCTTCAAAATATGCCCAAACAAACGACTTGAAGAAACTTGTTCTACTCTCTTCCCCCTAATGCTAAACGCCCCCCCCCCCCCCTAATGCTAAGTGCCCCCCCCCCCGCGCGAAAAAACAGGTTTTAGCATTTGGGGTCCCCGGTTCATTGTTCGTTTCGCAGAGCGCTTGATTCTCCGCAGCAAGCAAGCCAGCAAGCCTCCTGCAAGACGCCACCGAAAGCCAGGCAGTGCAAGATGGCCGCTAGGCAGCAAGTAGCAGGTAAACTGCATATATTAGAGTGCAGGCAATGGGCTTGAGCGCAGCTTCACCTGAGGCAGACAGCGTAGCGCAGCCAGCAGTGATGGCCCAGCAGGCAACTTGGTAATTGATTCAGTTTTCACTGGAAAGAGAAAGAGAGAGAGAGAGAGAGAGGGAAAAAAACAAAAAGGAAGACAGAGGTTGCTAACTGCTAGTCAGCCAGCTGTGGATAACTAGTGACGGCAGGAGCAGGCAGCTAGCCCAGACGCCGGGCAGAGAGCGCAGATACAGAAGAAAGGCTCAGACAAGTTCCGCACACCTCCAAGAGGAGGATAGTAGACAGCCCAGGCAGCTCTAGCCAGCAGCTGGTTCCGCATAGACCAGCAAGCAGCCAGTGAAAACAAAGAGCGCGCAAGGCGGCGCTCAGGAAAGTCGCTCGCCGGCAGCAGACAGCCTTGGCGCAGGCAGAACGAGAGCTGTTCAAGACAGGCGAAGTCCGACAGGAATTTCGGCAGGTGGTGGACCAGTTCTGAGAGCCAGGAAGCCGCTCACCTGAGCCAGCGCTTGCGCAGCGGAGTGGCTGGAGGCTGCACCAGCCAGACGCAAGTGACAGATGCCGGCCTGGCGGGGCCAGCAAAGGCAGCCCGAGAAAGCTAGACAGCCAAAAGTGCCAGCCACATAATCCCTTCCCCCTATTAATAAATACGCCCCCCCCCCAATTATAAATAAATCCACCCAAAAATATATTGTTTTGAACTGGGTTTTTTGGGGTTTGCTTTTTTGCTTTTTCAACAACGCGAGGGTTCACATAGGATTTGGAGGCATGGAGGCAATGGATTGAATTGTAAGGTCCGCGAGTAAGCGGTTTAATAAGGAAATTTGATGTATCGTTCTATTTGTTTTTCAGTTTATTGGTTGTTTGTTTGCAGCCAGGCAGGTTAGTTAGCCCGCATGTACGGGAGAGAGACAGTCGCAGCTAGACACTACCGCGGGGAAGCCAGCTTTTGGGGAAGCAACCTTTTAGGGAGTTCATCTTTTGAGGAACTCACCTTTTTAAAAGTGGGGCTGGAAGCTTGTTAAATCTGCCCCCTAATAAGGATTCCAAGACTTTAGTATTGGTTTGGTATTGGCGCAATGGAAATCAATTGTGCGGAGTGGAACCCTGGTCCCGGGCCCCGGATTTCATTTTTTTATTAATTGGGGTCATTCATGAATAGGGGGAGCGGACTTTGGCGATGCACAGGAGCATGGTACGCTTGAACGAAGACAGTCCGGTTGTCTTGCAAGTGGCTAGGCAGTGCGGATGGTTGCACTTGAGACCCGACAGCCAGGGCATGCTCAGGCCAGCAAGCAGGAATGGGCCAAGACAGATGGGTGGTAGATGGAGCCCCTGTGTGAGCAGGCTTTTGGCTGGACCTGCAGGCAGACTTCCAGATCACGCCAGAAGAAGTGGAGGAGATTCAGACGCTGCAGCTGCACCCAGCAGAGCGAAGCCAGGCGTGGCAGAAAGTGTGCTGCCGGAGCTCCGGCTGGAAAGTCGCAGCTTTGTAGTACGACCGTAGTACAGAAAGCGTGCTCCCGGAGCTCCGGCTTGAAAGTCACAGCTTTGTAGTACGACCGTAGTACAGAAAGCGTGCTCCCGGAGCTCCGCCTCGACAGTCGCGGCTTTGTAGTACGACCGTAGTACAGAAAGCGTGCTCCCGGAGCGCCGGCTCGAAAATCGCAGCTTTGTAGTACGACCGTAGTACAGAAAGCGTGCTCCCGGAGCTCCGGCTCGAAAGTCGCACTTATAGAGCTTTTCTTATAAAGCTTCTCACAAAGCTCCTCATTGTAAAGGTTTTAAAGCTCCTTATAAAGGCTCCTTATAAAGCTCCTTATAAAACTCCTTATAAAGCTTCTTATAAAGCTCCTGATAAAGCTTCTTATAAAGCTTCTTATAACGCTCATTATAAAGCTCCTTATAAAGCTCTTCTTATAAAGCTTTTTATAAAGCTCCTTATGAAGGTTTTCTTATAAAGCTTCTTATAAAGCTCCTTATAAAGCTCCTTTTCAAGCTCCTTCTAAAGCTCCTTATGAAGCGGGGGGCGTAGTAGCCCTGCACACCCTGGTCCGTGACCTCAACATCGGCAGCGTGCCAGGAGATCACTGGAGGATTTAGGTCATCGCCAACAGCTTGCCTCTGTGGGGAGGTGTGCAACTTGCCGTCGACACCACGCTTGTCTCAGGCAGCCCTGCGCTTAGCGCGTCGTGCCACACCCTGAGCTCCTTCGGCCCGACTCGCGCTGCAGGTTGGTTGTCCTTGGCGCTTCAGCCCAGAGACAGCGGACTTTGTTCAGCGTGCTAGCACGGGCCCAGCACTAATTAACAGCCCACAAGAATGTCCCAAAGGGTCTCCCAATCCAAAAAACTTCGCGGACAACCGAAAAACTAAAAAAGCAAAAACCAAAGTCCTGAGAGAAATGTTTTGGGCATATCCAATACCTTTTGCCTGCGGGATTGTTTCTTTGGTTTCTTTGGTTTTCCTCATTGGGCAATCATCCCTGCGAATTCCTCACGCAAAGACCTTCTCCAGACATTGACTGCCTCCATGCTCTTATAATCGCATACTGGAGACAGTGTGGTTCCCCAACGCTACCCAGGCGTTTGGATTTATAGAGGGCATGTAGAATCACTTCTGGATGGCCGAGGCAGGGCGCTTGTGCGCGGCTGCAGGACTCTTCTGCGCGGCAGCGGGTCGCTTGCGAGTTTTGGTGTTGGTGCGGCGGACCATCATCTGGGGCATCTCGCGCAGGTGGTTGTTCCAAAAGTTGATGGATTCCTGTACCCAGAAGCGATGGCTGTAGGCATTCATGCTGTTCAAGCAGATGTTCGCTTTCACCTTGTCCGGGAGGGTGAAGTGCTGGAGGATGTTGCGTTTCATGATGACGAACTGCAGCCTAGTGTTGGAGGGGCGCCGGGTCTGCAGGCCGAAAGGCTCAGCGAGGAGCTGCAAGTCTGATTGGCCGCAGGCCTGTTTGTACGAACGCCCGAGCTCCACCAGGTTCAAGTCTTCTTGGTAGTTCATGATGAGGTCGAAGCAATGCACAACCGGATTGTCAGAAGGCGCAAGCTCATCCATTGGAAAGGTGACAATGGTGAAGCTGCCCGGGGCTGTTCAGCGGTGCAAATTGCATTGCAGGGTCGGCGAAGGAGGCCCTCCACCAAACCCTTCATGTCCTCAAAAGTCAGGTCCTCTGCCTCCAAGGCCATGATGAAAAGGACGATTGCTGGGACACAGGGCGGAGGAGATGCAAACAGGCTGCGAAAGAAGCAGATGCAGCGCTGGAACCCTTTCCAACAATGCCAGAAAATGCAAATTTCCCATTCTGAAAGAACATTGTTTTGTGTGTATTTTACACCCGCTGGGACATTGGCCTCTCTTTACTTTCTCTAGAAAATTTGCTTGGGTTGAATCGTTGTAGTCTTGTCCGCCCAAGGGATGCGCCTCTATTACCGCGGGTCACACCACCAAGCTTCTCTTTATGGAGCTCTCCATGGACGAGAGCTTCAAACAGCAACTGCTTGTGGTTCCAAACGATTAATCCATCCAAATGCTTGCTTTACATTGCGTAAGGCAAAACAAGATCTGTTTAGAAAAAGTTGCCTACGCTGCGCTCGATCAGTGTGGGCAGCTAACGTCAAAAGAAAATCGGTCAAGTCAAGATCTGGGGCATTGCAACTCGTGGGGTTTAAGGCTCTCCAACCCACCAAAGATCCACTGAGGTTTGCTTAATGTTCGGGGACCAAGTGAAAAAAGGAGGCGTTGGTCACTTTCTGATTGTATACCTTGCGTGGGTTGTCTAAGCACAAGCAGGCCAAACGAACAATGTTCTCAAAGAGGCATTCCCGACACATGTGACATTTGCCGGGACGTGCTTGGTTAACAGCCCTGAGCCGACTCTGGGTGGCATCCATCCGAGGAGATTTGGAACGTCACAAAAGGACGAGAGTTGCTTGACAGCAGCGGAGTTTCAAGGTGCGTCAAAGGCAAACTCGGCTTGTGACAGCTGCGCCTGAAGGATTGTCACGAATGTTGGCAGAGAATTGTGCCATGCAAGTGCTTGGCTGTGATGCTGAAGGCGTTGCGTCTTTTTCCTATGGTGTTTTTTTGGTCCAACACCTTGAACCGAGGTCCGAGCGAGGCCGGGGGAGCGTGGGCGTACAAACTGTTGGATGCCGGGCAAAGCTGAGGATTTTCCCGCGTGCGTCCCCAACGCCAACAACCACTGCGTCTCCTTTTGGGAACACGGGCGTCCTGGTCTAGAATCTTGTTCGAGACAAGAGAACCACTTGCATGCTTTCAGCGGGCTGGCCTTCACAGTCTGATTCGACCGCAAGGGTGTTTCAGCTTGAGGCAGAACAGTTATTGTGATGACGCCACCGACAATGGTTTCCAACCTTCTAGATAGCTTTGAGATGCTTGGCAGCACTGACTTGACTGGAGCTGACCTGGCAGCGCATGTAGCTGAGTGTCAATACTAGGGCGTTGTGTTTGAGATGGGTTTTAAACTTGGGTGTTCTCATCAGTAGCAAATATATGTCAGGGGAAAGTGAGCCCAACCAACAACTTATTGTAGAGTCAACAGGCTTGATTCCCTCAAATGAGACAGTCGGAAGGGTTCCCTTTTTTGACAGCCAGTTTCAACCAGACGACATGACAAATCGTGGCGCGCAGGCGAGCATCGTCCCACTGGTGAAGGCTGCGCAGCAGCTTGATGGCGCAACCAAACTCCGCGAGCCCGCTCAAGCATGTTTCCACATGCAGTATGTTAAATTTGTTTTTTGTTCCAGTGCTCAGAGCCTGAGTATCCCTGTTCGGCTCGGCGGTTAGTGGCCTTGAGCTGGCAGTTTTTTAAAAGGCGGTTGTCAATATCCACTACCGTGACCGCTGGAACTGGTAGCAACATGGTTTTTTAACAGTTTGCCTCGGCCAAAAAGGTAGGGTGTGTTTCCAGCCAGCCAAGGACAGTGCCGATGAAGGAGGACTCGTGTTTGCGTGTTGTTTCTTGCTGCATAGTAACATAGTGAAAGCACAGCGAGCAACGAGAGTGACATCAACAAGGTGCCTCAACGTGTAGAATGTTTGTGGGCAATGTTTCCTACGCGCAAACCAATCTGAGTTCGTTATTGGGTCGCAGCTCAGGTTTCCGGCCTTCACATGCTTGGCACTGCTTTAATCTCTGTGTGAGTTGTTGTTTTCTGAGAGCACATTTGGCCTTCTGGAAGCATCCATGTTACAGCTGCGCTGTCGGGCGTTTCATATCTGCTCGCATTTGCTTGGTCCCATTCGGTGAGATCAGAAGATAAACATTCATTATTTAATGCCACGGAGTTGCGAAAAGGAGTCCCCTACTCATGCTTGTCTGAAATCCCATGACTCTATGCAGCAATCCGGCTGCGTCCAAAAAAACCTGGTCGAAGGAAATTGACCGAGGAGTCATTGGAGGTTTGCGAGCATTGCTTTCAAGTTTGTTTGAAGGTAGACCCCCACCTAAGTCCAACGAATACTAAATTTGCTCTAGTGTCGCGTGTTGAGATGTTATTCTAGCAGTCCCTGGCTTTAGAAAACCATTGCAGCTAGCATGCCCCACCGGACATGTCTGTTTGCAACGATCTTGCCTTGTTTCCCATGTTTGCTCCAGGAATTACATGGCATGGCTGTCAGCTGGAAAGACACGATCTGAGTAGCGCGAATCTTTGCAACAAAGGCATGCCCAATGTCAAGCATATGTTGTCCGTAACCATAACCGACGAGTTTACTGGTGCAGTTGTTAAGCAACTTGAACGCAGGCCCCACTAGGATTGAGTTGGTCCAACCCTTCCACACGATCAGCGACCCTTCTTCCCCCCGCAGAAGCTTCGACCGAGTCCCATCAGGGCTTCAAATGTCAAAGTCGTTCCGATTCTGCAGACCGTTCAAAGAGGATGGCAGTTGGGGTCCAAACCCTAAACCCTGAGGTTCTCCAAAGAATGAGCGTCGACAAACCACTAGTCAAGTCCGAATGCGTGTGTTCACCTGTCATGCCACTGAGGTGGATGCGTGTTGCCTATTGCAACTGATCCCGGCCTTGTTCGTTCATGCTGATTGACGCAGACTTCCGCAGCGTAGGTCCGCGCGCAGGCACTGCTGTGATATGAGGTCTCTTAATGTCTCATGTGCTGAACATTCTGCATAACGTTGTCATGTTGAGACACCCCCCACCCCACACCCGGTGCACACAAACACACACAGGTCAAGCTGAGGTTTGATCCTTGGAAAGTTGGCAATCTGAGGAAACGTACTGATCCTTTGAGGGACGTTTCTAAGTTCAGTACGTTTCTAACTCCGAGAACTCAGACTTGGGGCCCAGGAGCCAACCTCCGTCTCCCGGAGCAGCCTCGCGCTCAACGCCGACCACTCGGCCACTCGGCTTGCCGCTATCACTCGACCGTCGCGTGTTGGATTTTGACCTTCCCTGCGACGTTGAACATTTGTTTTTTGTTGCCTCTATACCAACGGTGCTCAGTTGGTTGTGATTCGGCTCACCGGCTGGCGGCAAGCAAGGCGTCCTCCTGCTTTGCCTGCAAAATGTGCATTGAAGAAGTTCGCCAATACCACCAACCATGCTTTGAAGAAATCACAGTGTTCATCCCAAACATGCAAGAGTAAACATGACCACGAGGAAAGTGCATTTTGCCGCTTTCAGGCAGAATGTTTCGCGTGTGTCCTTTGGCATGCTGCTTTGTTTTTGTTTGCACGCCCATCTGGCTGGTTCTCAGGGAATCAGCAGGGGTAGGAATAAACCCACAGATCCCCTTTTTAGGGACCCACCTGATGGCCCACCGTCAATTCCTGCGCAAGTCGGACCGTGGCACAGGAGCTCATGAGCTCTTTGTGGGCTGCCTTCGGAACCGCCAACGCTGCGCGGGCCAAGGTAACCCAGGCGCGCACAGGTCCAGTTTTTGGTATCGGGTGAACATGTGGAATTTGAGACTGATCCATCAACTTAACACAAACTCATTAAATCCATATTGACGCTGGTATCCCTTCTGTTGCAGGGTGACGTATCACCGTCATAGTCATAGACCCATGTTTGTTTCGCAGTCAGTTTGTTGCTAGCTTGAACAAAGTGGATCACAGTGGACCGAGGCGGAGCAGAGCTACTGTGCTATTCAGACCCAGCTTCAGATGGCCATGCAAAAGGGTGCCGCTCGGAAAGGGGTTTGCAGCGCCATTTCAGTTGTTGCTCGGCTGATCCGAAAGATCCTAGAGGTGTTCTGCATATGTTTGACTGAAGTGCAGTTCCGTGGTCGTCCAGTCCAGTTTGACTGTTTTGACCCGTTTCGACCAGCTGGAGGATGGAGTATTCTCCAAACTACGGACCCTTCGCGAGATCCGGATGTCATGTTGGCACACCTTTGAAAGTGTCCAAAAAGCGGTCAACAGTTTGGCCAGCCTCCTGTGTGTTTGTTTTACTGCCAGCCGTTGCAGCAAATTCACGTCGGATGTGCTGAGCACAATGTCTGATCAGAGAAATCACCACCTGTCTTATCTTTTGCTCATCAAAACCCCCAGCAGTGACGGGGCTGCGAAGGCAGAAGCACAGACGTGCAGTCCGCACATTTGACTTGACCAGAAGCTTGCTTTTCAACAAGCTGCTCAGCATTGCCTGTACGCCGAGGAGGAAGCTTTTGTTGCCGTGAACCACTGGGGCAGCCACAGGCTTAGTTGGGCAGTGTGGATGGCAGAGGGCAAGTATCTTCATGACGAGTTCATTTACGAAATGAAGCAGAAACGGCTCAACACAATTTCCCGCGGCAGTCAAAGTGTTTGCAGAGCCAAATGTTGGCTGCTCGATCCTGACACGCGCACGATTGCCCAGCGTGGATACAAAGATTGCGCATGGTGCCACGGTCCCGCTTAATGTGAAACGTGCCGATTGACACGGCAAGGCCTGTCCACGGGCAAGCTGCGCCCTTTTTAGCTGCATAGCTATATTCGCTTGCCAAGGCATGGTGGAGCAGCTCAAGATGGAGCAGATGACCTTTGCAAGCATGTGGCATGAGCCGTTAGCCCGCATTCATTAAGAGAGTGGGCGAAAGGGAACTCCCGGAGATTCAATTGGATGCCACGCAAGGGATGTGCAATCAGTCCCTTGCCGCAATCGTCCCGGCCGAGCATTGTTGAGGCCGACGCTTCAAGCACAATGCCAACAGCGGCTAGGGCAAGCAGCCGATTGGCTAAGGGATCTAGTCAGCTTGTCAACACGGGTGTTCGAGGGCACCCTTGGTTTCCTTGAAGCCTCTCACCGGATTGGTGTTTCCAAATGTTTGCAAACAAGAGAGGACCTTTGCAATTGCGTGGTGACAAGGTGGGCAGGGCAAATAAGGGGGGGGTGGGGCGTGTCTTGAAAGTTAGCATCAGACAAGGGGTGCTGCAAGTCACCGCAAGTGTGCCGCAACTCGGGGCGTTTCAACTGGCTGGAATTATTTTTGTTTTCAAAAACTGGCATTTGACGCAGACGTGCATCTAGCCAACCAGCATTTGCAACCGTTTGTTTGTTAGGCCGCTTGTTTGTTGGTTTGTTTGTTGCTCTCTCTTTCTCTCTCGCTCTCTCTCTCTCTCTCTCTCTCTTTGTGTCTCATTTCTTCCATTTCTTCTGATGTGTTCTGAATAAATGTCCGATGAGATTAACTAGCTTCAGCAAAAGCCTCGCAGATTCTCTTTCTACAGCTGAGCAATCCTCAGTTTCATTGGAGTTTGGGCGCGAATCTCTGGGGTAAAGTCGCTGGCCCTTCCTTTGGCACTTCGTGAGCTTAGCTGGTACTAAACCTTTGCTCAGCCTTGCCAGGGTGCTGTTATATGGCATCCCGCTTCTGGAGCTATGCTCGGAGTGATAGTGCCAACTTTGGATTCAGAGAAATTCCCTTGAAGTGGGTGATTCCCGAATGATCTTTGATTTATCAGGCGCACCTGCGGGGATGTTCGTCTTTTGGAAAACAGGCCCACAGGGCTCTGTTGGGTGCACTTTGACCCATTGAAGATGTGAGCCCCGAGTCACTTTTTTGGGGGATGAGTCTTCGGGACAGGTCGTTGGCTCCCGGGAACAACAGTTCCTGTCTGTTGTTTGCAGTGCAAGTTGATGCAAGTTGTATACATTTGCGATGTTATTTCAATTCCCACACATGATTGAATGACCTGTCAGCCAAGAGCGACGGATTCAAGTTCAGGCATGTCCTGAAGTGCAGGGCTTAGTTCAGACGTTTCAGGCCTTGTGTCCCTCGGCTTACCCATGTTTGAGTGCGGTTCCTGCGCTTCGAAACGTTTTTTTTGGGGGGGGTGACTCGGCTGTGCAACTTTCAACCTACACCACATGTTGGCGCTTTCCAGATGCAGAGCCAGAGCTTCGCGCAGCAGTCTAGTGCGGCTTGGCACAGCGGGGCTCGGTGGCTCTGTCCTGCTGTTATCCGGGCATGTAGGTTGTTCCATTCAGCGACTCACGCTGTGTACGTGCCTCTGACTGAGTGGCTCTGTCCAGATGCTGAACCATTTGCAAGTGTTCCCTGGCGCAGCAAGTGTTCAAGCAAGGGCCAGCAACCTTTACTCCATGGCGAGGAATGAAAGGTTTTGTGTGCTCAGAGCATCTCTCACAATAGACCAAATCAAAGCGGATCCAGTATAATATACATAAAAGAAATGGTCAACCCCCCAGGGCCCACCTTTTGCGAGTTCCACTTGGAAAGTGTCATATGTGTTCGGCGTGTCTCAATCTTCCACGTGTCTGACACACTGTAAAATACGGTGTTGTTGTTGATGTGTTGCCTTTCTTATGGTAGCAGATGTTTGGTTTCTCGAGGATTGAACGGCAAAAAGTCGAAACCGGATTCCGGTTTCGGATGCAAGTCTGGCTTTGTTTGAAAACGCTGGTTTTTACAGTGGCTTTGAGTACGCACAGCAACACACATAGGAAACATTATGATTGTTGCAGCTGCCAGCTCTGAAACCTGCACATGCCAAAAAGAACAGAAACTCCACACCAAATCCCGGAAAAGTGGGGATACTGGCACATTATTTCGCTTGCCACATATAATCTAAATCATATTGAGGAATGATTTACGTTTTTGTTCAAAGGCCTATTTTAGCTTCAGGTTTCATGTGCTAAACAACTGCCCAAGCAAATTACGACCATGCTCGCACACAAGATATGCTAGTACATGCCATGAGTACAGAAAGGTGCATCATACTTGCATCCAAAATAGAATAGCACATGCCATGAACACATACAAGCAACTTATTTTGCACCCTTTCTGCGGCTCGGCAGTTTATCAACAATCGCAATCCTGGCATAGTGTGGTGAACAACTTTGGTTGAATTGTTGGTATGCTCATTAAATGTGTTGGGGTCCATGGCATGTTGAGAAGCTCACAAACCACAGAAGCCAGATTGAAATGCAAAGTCTCTATTTCCGAGAACTCCGTGTTTCCCCCATCAAGCGCTTAAACCGGCCTCGTCACCATATCGCGTGTTGCTAAGGCTTGACTTCTATTGGGTTGGATCTTTAGACTTTAACTTGTTGGGAACCCCCAAAAAATTAAACTTTTTGCAGGGGGGTCAACAGCAACAAAGAAAGTGCGACCACACATTTGCAGTGAAACCCAAACCAGAGTGACCACAGCTGCAGCACCTGCAAGCGATGGGGCATTGCGCCAAATTTGTTATGCGCTTCAGCCCATTCAAACCACGCGGGGCTAAGACATTCTGGGCACAACACGAGGTGTTGCCCGGGTGTGTTGCATGGTTTTTGGCTGTAGAGCCAACGTGTTGCTTCCCTGGGATGTGGGGCAGGGCGGTTGAAGTTCAGGACACTTTAGGAGCTTTAGGCTTGCCGTATGCCCCAGCCGATAGTTCGATCGCGTGGCACCAGCTTCGCCCAGCCATGTACTCATTGAGAGGGAAGACATTGACTATCGACAGAGGCTCAAGCCTCTGGGCGGAGCTCAATACTGCATATGGGGGCCCGGGCGTAAAAATCCGACAAATGAGCTCCCAAACGCGGACCCAATATGTCTCGTGATTTGCACTTTCCGAGCACGCGGGGAACAAGTGCATCGCACTAAGAAAATTGTTTTCAAAGGAAACCAAGCACTGCCTATTAACATATTTGGCCCTCTTCAACCTCGTCCGATGACTACGCGTGGCACCGTTTGAGGAGATTCAACACACCTTCATGGAGGAGTGGGGCCTCGGGATGGCAGGGCGAAGCCGCCAAGGTATGCGACCGTCCGCCGGAGGAACTCTGCGTGGGCGCGATGGCCGGAAGACAGGAGGCGGTCAAGGTCAGGACGATCTTCGACGCCACGATCGTGCCAAGAAATTGGAAAACTGTTACACGTCAAGCAGCAGTGCGATCTTCCGTACCATATGCCTCAGAACTCAGCTATATTCAGATCAGCCAATAGAGACCTACAGGGAACATTGCCTTATCGCACCACGTCCACCTCGAATGCTACGCTGCAACAGTGTCGGTTCGTGCAATGAAGAAACAGCTGTAGAGCGCCAACTCCAAGGGGGCGACCTCACCCTCTCCAATGTCAAAATGATGAGTTCCACCTGCAGCGCAGCAGGCTGTCACTCTAAGGATTTCCCCCGTTTCTCCAGCCCAGCGCCGCGAGCTTGGGCCAGGGTCACTCTGCTGAGCTCCTAACCACTTCCCGTTTCCGCAGCTGCTTTGGTCAAATCGTTTCACAGGACTGGCCAAACACTTTACTGATCACTGAATCTCTTCTCATAGCCAGATAGATAATCAAAAAGCCCGAAAGCATGCGCTCACATTGCGGTATTCTCCCTGCACATCAGGCGCAAGCGCAATTCCCAGTGAGTGAATGTGAGATTGCTAGCGCAAAGACCCCAGGAAAAACGGATCGGTCAGGAGGCAGACGCTGGCTGGACCTTGATTGGCTCGGCAGACAGCTGATGCCAGCCATGATGTTGAGCCACTGCTGCCTGTCTTCTGCGCGCAAGGCAGATCACATGCCTGGGTTGCACGCAAGTTTTGTTCACCCAATGCTTGCGCACAAGTTTTGACAAGTCGCTTGCTGCTGCTGCCTGAGTGTGTTAGCATTACTGCCAGCCCTCAAGCCACAAGTCAAGAAGCAAAAGCGAGCGCATCAGTCAGTCACAATAAAAGAAAAGTGGAGTGGCGGATGACGTTCTGCCGAGCCATTGTCAACATCCATGAATCAAGAATAGATTAAACGAATGAATCAAATGTCAACGAGTCAATGTCAAATCAAAGCCAAGGCTCGTGTTCCCTCGCCGCCGAGCGCGTCAAAGGAAAGCTCGTTGCCCCTGACAGGATCCGAGACAAAAAGAGCGGGGAGGCAGGCGCTCACCAACGATGAGCCCCCCATTGCAGCTCTGGTTGCTAGGCTCAGGCCCTGATGTGACTGACTATCCCACCAGCGCAGCATGTTCTGCTGCACTAACGTCGTCATTCATTCCATGCCATAGTCTTGTTGCTGTCCAAGGACCATTCCAAACGATGTCACGTTGAGGGGTGGTTTGTCAAGCGCAAATGCTTTCAAGCGTGGCTCCACTGCTGTCCTCCTTGCCTCAACCTCAAGCCTTACTGCTCAAAGCTCAGCCAGTGTCTTGACAGAGCGCCAACGCTTTCCACGCCTTTGTGTTCTCGTCTTCATCAACATGAAATTTCGCGAGTTTTAAAGGTTCTGTCCAAAGGGGCCGAGCGGCAGCCGAAGGCAGCAAGGTACGGAACAGAACGCATGGCCGTAACAAGCACACACAATGTGTCCTGGCTCAGAGCTACAGAACGGCCGCTGACATTCAGTTATATGAGCCGTATTGCCTGGCCAGCAACAGCGCGCCGCTTGGAAGATGTTCAGTCAAGGCATTCAGCTTGCAACGTGCGCCTATGCTGGCAAAGCAAAAGCTGACAGAATTGTCAGAAAATAAGCTCAATTATTGTGCTGCGCGCCAGACCTGCCACTGCGATGATGAAATCTTAGACTTGCACTCTACAGCTGCTACCTGAAGCAAAAGGAACAAATGTCAACCGTAGGCGCGCCCTCTTGCGACAAAATGAGTTGCCAATTTTGTCCATCGCAACTTGACCTACATCCTGTAACTGTGAAAGTGCAAAGTTGACGCACCGATCGCCACATAAAACAAAGTTTGTTTGGCCAATCGAGCAGGGTCAGGCTCAAGACAGCGATCTGTGTTCTTGACGTCCCTGTTGCCGCGGCGACGGCAGTTCCTCAAATCCCGAATAGATTTTTATAACGCAGTCCTTGCTGATGGCTTGGGCCGGAGCACTGTCCTGCCTTTGGTGCGCAGGTCTCACACCGGCCAAGCTACTTTGTAATTCCCAACCACAAATTGGGTTGGTTGACCATACAAGTTGCGTCTGCAGCAAATTGTCATGCTAACGGCGCAGTCCTGAGCAAGCGCTTTTGTCTGTTCCAGCAAGTGGGCTGCGGTTAAAACTTCGTCGCCTTTTGAAGGCAGTCCTGCCACCTCACCTGGCAACACACACACACACATGAATCATCATCTCTCAATGAGTCACTGGCGCCAGCCTTCTGACACCTGGCGACTTGTCAAGCGACGCCCTGAATTTCTTTGTTGTGTGTAACACCGTTGCCGCAGGACAACCAGTACTCCAGCATCGCATGGTTTCATTGCTCCGGGGGCAGCAAAATTTAGTGACAAACGCTATGCCACATATGACATTGTCACTGTTCTCAGCTGGCAAGCAAACTGCTGGCTGAACTTAAGCAATCGACACGCATAATTTGACAGCCCAGAAGTCAATTGACATCTGACACTGGAAAAGGCCGCGACGCTTGAAGGTGGCCAGGAGTTAGTTCGGTTATGTGCTCGGTTGGCTGTGCCATGCTGCCAGTTAAAGAGACTTGCCTTGAGGCAATCTTTCGCGGCGCCAAGGAGTGCGGGGATTCAGAAAACAGCGTAATCACTGCCACCCTCCTTCTCTGCAGGGTGTTTCACTGCAAGGAACGCAGCCCCCCTCAGATTCCCAGATTCACCCAAACGTTTCAGTGCGGAGGTGAGTTTGGCGCCATTATTTGCGGCTGAAGACACACATGTGTTGGACCTGGGTCACGGGCAGGCATCAGGCCTCTGTAAAGAAACTCAGCAAACCAAATGTTACAGCCGCACTACGCAATCAAAGGATTGCTTTTTTTTTACTTTGTCAACCTTTCAGCTCAGTGACATACACAGCTTCATTCACTAGAGCGTACTTATGTCCAAGCGGCGATTGGGAACAGCACGGACAACAACGACGCCTATAGCTCAATATATTCAATGAAGCCCTGAGCAGTGGCTCTTTGGTCCAACTGTGTGCTCTGCGCATCCAGCGGGTGGTATCGGAGCAGCTCTTGCGCACAAACCCTGGGAAGCTGAGAGGGCCAGGACCCATAAAAGGAGTTGGACAGATCAGCTGGCTCGAGTTGAATCCAAATTATGAATGATATTGTAGTAATCCAAGCTAGGCTTTGCGCAAGCTTCTGCAAGCAAGGGTGGCGCGCAACTTCTGCGTGCGCGATCGAAATAGAGCCATTATCACAGTGTCTCAGATGCTCTGCTCAAGATTATCTTTATACCCACAACCCGATGTACTAGTACTTCATCCGACGAGGAGAGGATTCAATTGCCTTTGTGAACCTCTCCACTGCAACTACCCATTGATTTTGCGCAACCGTTGTCAAGAATGGCACGAGCTGGATTTTTGGCCTGCGTGATGAGGAGCGCCATGAGTTTACTGGCCAGGGCCTGAGCTCGCTTCGGTGTCGCGCGCGGAAACATGCCATAGGTCAAACCATGCCCAATGTCTATGACAAGTCCTGACAAATTCCAGGCCATCAATGACGCCAATCAGAGACGGCGTGATCAACACAACGACAGGTTTCTATATCGAAGTTTTCAGGGACAGCACGGAGCCGCACCCGATCGAGTCCTCCTCACAACACGTCAAGCGAACTTTGACCAGAAGAGGGCAATTCCTTCAACACTATGAAATCGTGAGCCCTCAGTACTATGACCTCTTCATCACAACAGTGGAAATAGTCGCAAGAACCACTCACTCAGAGAAAGTGACGATGTAAGTAAGAAGTGGAAAAGAAAGAGATTCAGAATAGAGGGGGGCTGGCGAGATCGCGAAGGCTACCGCAGCTTAGCGCGCGATTTTCGCCACGGTCCCGCTGCGGCCTTGGAAAGGGTAGCAAGGGCACGGCCGCGCGCGCTGCGTCGGCGTGCTTCGCCCGATGAAACCTCTGCGGGGATCGCGCGTGTCGAAGCGCTCTCGTCGCGTCCCCGTGCAACTTGAGATGAAAGCCTGGCGCCAGGGATGAGAGACTTCCCACAGACCGCAAGGAAACCAAAGCAAACCAAAGCAAACCAAAGCAGACAAAGTCTCAGACAAAGGGCGCGGGCCTTAACTGCGACATTTGCATTAGGTTATCACTTTTGGTCTCTCAGCAGAGAGACGTAAACTCGAGAAAACCTAGAAAGCAAAACAACGAAAGGAAAAGGGAAGCGCGCAGCCTTCAATTTGCCATAGACAAGTCTAAACCTCAGCGCGCACCTTCTGACGAGGCTTGGCCCCTCGTGAATCTTAGCAAACTTGTCATGGGACCAACTCTTCCAAGCAATGGCTGGAATTGTCTTTTACAAATCCTTTTTGATTGGAAACAATTTTCTTATCAAACATCAGTTCCGAGACACCCTGCGGAGAAGCGACAGGTATACACGTACATACGTTTGCAAGTCTTATTCCAATGCCATTAAGTACCTGTTAGAAGCAAAAGAGACAGCTTCTGCAGGCTCCTGTGGGGCATTCGAACGTGGCCGCCCCAACTCCCATTGAATCGTCTCGCTTCCAAGGAGCGGGCCATGCAGGGCCGGAAGGCGGCAGAGGGCGCGCTGCGGGAGGCCAATGAGGCGCTCCTGACGCAGCAGGCGGGACCAATCGAAATTCGCAATCCCGCCTGGTCCCGCTAATCGCACAGCGCGGTTGCCTCAAAGCCTTTCCCGCGATGCTGGTGAAGCGACTGTCAGAAAAACAACCGAACTTCAGACAAACCAAATTCAGAAAACACGCATGCGAAAATCAGGAAGCGTAAGTGCGAAATTAAGAGCACACATGTATTAAATTTACCAAACATGAACGCACAGTTCAGAAAACAGGCGGATAGGACGACCGGGGCGGCCGGGATAGTCGGGGTGTTCGGGCCGGGCTGGCCGTGATGGTTATGGCTGGCATGGTTGGGGGATGGCAGCATGGTTATGGCCGGTCTGTTTTGGTCTCAAAACCTCGGCCCCCTAAATTCCTTACTTGGGGAGTTCAAAAAATTCGCAGTTGGATCTGTTCAGGGCCTGTCACTGGCCTGCTTGGTCCGGCCGCTGATTTCCGTGAAGTGGGAATTTTGTGGTAGGGCTTCTATTTTGCTTATTGTGTTGTTTGCAGTTGCTGTCTTCGACAGCCTGTCACTGGCTTGCTTGGTCGGGCTGCTGCTTTTGGCGCAATCGTCTTTTGTCAGGGCCTGTTACCTGCTTGCCTGGTCGGCTTGCTGCTTTTCGTGAGGTAGGACTTTCCCATTGGGCTTCTAGCTTGCTTGTTGCGTGTGGTTGCCACGTTTTTGTGCAGTTGGATATTGTCAGGGCCCGTCACTGGCCCGCTGAACTGCTGATTTTCGTGTTTGTTTGGTGCATTTGTGTTTTTCAGGGCCTGTCAGAAGTAGGATTCTTCCATTGGGCTTCTAGTTCGCTTGTTGTGTGTGGCTGCCTTGTTATTTCTGAGTTGGCTTTCCAGGGCCTGTCGCTCGCTTGGTCGACCTGCTGCTTTTTCGTGGAGTAGGAGTTAGCTAAACTATGAAAAACACGAGCAAAAGATTAAAAAATACAAAAGGATAAATAAGGATAAACAAAGATATAAACATGTACAAAAAGATAAAAAAAAAACACAAACAGATAAGACAATATGTTTTCTTTCGTTTATCTTCTAGCAAAAAATGTATGAAAGAAAAACACTAGCTTCTAGTCCAGCTAGCTACGCGTAAGTCTACTATATCTCCGGCGGAACATACCAAACCTGTCTGAAGTAAACAGAGGATAACCCCCTGATGAACAAACCTTTATCTCAAATCTTCTTTTTCCAAGCTGTCTGGCTGCGAGTCTTCTTAGTAGGCCGATGCATCAGACACCCTGACGAGAGTGTCTAAACGGCTGTGAGCGAAAAGGGAAATGAAATAAGAGAAGAAGCTTGCCTGCGGGCCCCCGCAACGTCCCAACAGGCAAAACTCATTTACCCAGCCCTCGACATCCCGTCGTGGCTTTTCCTTTGCTCGGAGTTGCTTCGCCGGCTGAGACGCCAAGCTGCTTCCAAACAACAAAAACTCGACAGCGTCAGACAACAACGACTCCATCAGCGACCCCACAACGTAGACTCAACTCGACAAACGATGGCCCCCCCAAGCCCTGCGCCCAAGCTCAGCCAGAGCTCGTCTTATCCAAGGGCCGCCGAAAATTTTGCCGCGCAAAAGCTCTCTGGAGAAATGATGGCTAAACTGCTTATGTAAGGAAAATTTGGTCGCGCGTGTGTTAGCTCTGTTGCCCCTTCTGAACCTTTGCCTTTATCTTGGTTGTCTCGGACAACGTGTGCCAGGCTTAAACACTCAGCAGCAGCCACTTGCGATGCTTTTTCTGTCACAAGTGCGCGCCCAAGCATCAAATTTGTGGCTGTTTCTTACATGCGTCTTCTAAGCTTTTACGCGAGCGCTGACTTGGGAACCCCCGGTCACACGCATGCGGGAAGTTCTACACATGCGATTTTTTGTGTTGCGCTTGAGCTTCCTTCCGCTCACAAGTGTTGCGGGCTTCGCACGTGTGTCCTGTTTTACGAAAAGTGCCTGCGCGCAAGCAAACAAGTGGTGTGGCGAGAAGGACAGACCTGAAAACCTGTCAGTGTCTCCAGGCCTTTATTGCGCGAAGGTCACCCTCCCAGGCAAGGAAGTGTTCGCGCGTCACCCACTGTCGTGACATTATACCAAGAGAGGCTAAAAGACACTAAACTACATAGTTTAGAGCCCGAGGCGCTAATGCATCGCTTTTGTGCTTGCGCCGGTCGAGTAGCAAACTCTTGGGATCTTGCAGATTGCGCCAAAGGGTCGTTATTCGGCGGCTGTGCGTAATGGATGGGCCAGCTGGGTTCCAAAAAATCTCAGCCGAGCCGCGGCGCAATGACAGTTTAGGCCGCAATCGGCTGCGCCGACGCAAGATGACGTCATGCAATTTCCAAGGCCAAACACTTGTCAAGCTGGGTCTATTTCTTTGTAGAGAACGCAGTGTCGAATAGGGCGCGCCGAGTTCAGTTGCATGAGTGCAAAGCTGTGAGCGCAAGCGAGCGACGCAAGTATGCCTTTAAAGCGCGACCTTGGCAGCCAACAAAACGAGAACAGGCAGGAGGGAGGGGGGGGCGAGAGAGGTGGAGGGAGGTTAGTTCGCACACCTGCCCTGATAGCTTGCGCGCCTTGGGATCAACCGACCCAATCCTAAGAAAGAATGGCGCGCGGACATTCCAAAGATTTCTGAAGCAACTCGCCCGCCTATTTGCCGTTAGATTATAACCCGCAAGTGGCGCAGCCTTTTGGGAGCGTTTCGGCACCAGATGCTTTTGTATTTTCAGCAATTGTCCTCAATGCGTTTCCTCTTTTCCCACTATCATCAAGTACTCGCGAAGGCTTAGGTTACTTGATTCTTGGCGCTAACCATCACAACTCTCGCATTGTTTCTTGGATAGCGCCCAGGCCGTCGGCGCTTTTTCTAATCCTTCCACTCTCACTCTGCGAAAAGGCGCAGCTCAAAACAAGGGATTGCTACGCAATTCCCGGTGATTATTCATTTGCTCACGATTGGGCAATCATTCATCTCTAGAAACGGGTTTCACGGCCATTTGAGGTTTTCAAGGGTTCGCACGCTGGACGGGTTTAACTCACGAAGTTTCAACTCCAAACCCCTCACGGATGCGTGGACAGGTCATAATCGCGTTGAAGCATTTGCGCGAATTCGGGCCGAACGAATGTAAGAGAGTGGAAGGCTTCAAAGGGTTAACTTGGACATGCGAACAAACGTCTTTTACGGGGGCGTGCGCCGTTTTAACACATGGCCGCGAAATGGGTGAAGCCATGGGCGCGAGCAGAAATGGCCGCACAATTCCGCGAATATCCGGAAATCGGCCGCGAAACCCCCGCAGCTGGCCGCGAAAGGTCTTTTTTAACAAACGAACATGCGAATTCCAAGGTTCCACGCAAGTTCACGCCAAAACACCGTAGTTTAGAGTCTTTTTCACGCAAGTTCACGAAAGTTCACGCGCCCCCCCCCCAAAAAAAAAAGAAAGAAAAAAGCACAACAAGCCTAAAAACAAAATCGGGGGGCGCCAGTTCTGAAATTTCAGGAGTTCACGCCCAAAATCGGCCAACCACAATCCCAGAGATGGCCTCTGAAACTTGAGAGCTTGAGGCACAAGAGCCACGTGAACTTGACACCAGCAATTTGCGAAGCGCGCCTGGGACGATCGCTGCAAGCCACTGCTGACTAAGGGTGTGCTTGCGGGCATCCCGAAGAAGTGGAAATTGATTTCCAGGAGCACCCCGGCTTTCTTTATGTTTGGCTTCTGCTGCGGGTTTTGATTGCAGGTAATCTTGCCAAGAAAATCGTTCCGGAACGCGGGGCGGCGGCGCGCGAGCCGTAAAAATCGCTCGCGCGTGTCCTGCGCAGGCCCTTGCAGGTCTGAATTGACCACCGGCTGACAGACTGCGTGGGGTTCTGTCAGGATTTCTTTTGGCCGTGAAATCACTCAATGGCTGCGAAAAACCTAGATTCCGTGAAATGCGCACAAGTCGACGTGGAATCCTGCAAGCGCAAAACTCGTGAGAAAATAAAATGCCTGGAAAACAACTTTTTCAAGGTCGAGAGACGAATCGCCGCCCAATAGCATGATCAACTGAATGTCCAGACTTGTCAATACTGTTCCCTAGCATTCTGCGTCCCACAAGTGCAGAGAAAGATACATCGTATATTAGGGGCTTTGTAGATCCGTTCTGAAAGTGTTTTCCTGCAATGGCCCTGTGACAAGGACTGACGTCTTCTTGGGCAAGCCCGACGCAACAAAACAAAATTCGAACACTTAAAATTTCCCCTTCTCGTTGCGGGCCCCGTGAGATCGCCTCACTGCGCAAGCAAGCACGGTCAGTTATGTGTTTCCAAACCCTTGGCACATATAGGGGAACCCTCGGAATCCCTCTTGGCAGATCGCACATGCTAACGGTGAACTCACATTGACCGTTTGCGCAGCCATACACTCGGTAAGCGCAGCGAATCAGCCAACTAACCTGGATGTGTCTTGGGTTGCAACGGACCTTTGACCCAATGCGTCTTGAGCCATGTAATCACACGTTGAAGCCGGCGCATGCCCAGGGCAAAGCTGCCCTGAACTGCTTTTCTATGGGGTATCGCGATGCAAATGCGGCCCGCGCGCGGTCGCAAATGTCACGAAACCAGCAATCATGAGAACATTCAAAACAGCCCGACATACATTAGAGTCTCTTTCGCGAAGGCGAAAATTAGAGTCTTTTAGCCTCTCTTGGTACTGCAGACTCCCGAACCCAGCGTCTGGCACCTTTCTTTCTTCGGCGCGCGGCAAACGCCTTTGAGCCCTACGGCTTCGTTCGCAAGCTTCCTTGTGAGCTGCCGGTTTAGGAAGCTCACGCCCCAGGGTTTGACACCAAGGAGAAAGTGAGCAGGAAGACTAATGAGGCTGCACATCACGGAAGCGGCGCTTCGCATGCGTCAATGTAGAATGTAACACACACACACACCTCCTAGACTGGGAACTTCCGCTCCGCCCCCAAACGCTCTGGAAAACAAAAACCGCTGGACACCATCCAGATGCGACCAAAGAC